GCGGTTGTGGTTTCGATCCCTTTTGTGAACGTATATGTGGCTTGGAGATAGGGGCGCCTTCTCAACCTCGTGGGTTTACTCCGGGTACTTCGGTTTCCTCCCACAGGAAAGACCCCTGCGCGCGCTAAGATAATAAAAATGAAAATAAGACAACTTCTCTGCAATATCACCTTCGGTGGAAGCGGACATTAAAAACTCAGTCATTTAAGTCTATCCGACTTTGTAGCATTAGGTACTAGTCGGGATTCCGCGGTCATGTAGTGTATGTAGATAATTGAAATTATAAGTTTCCCGTATTAAAGATTTCCAGAACCATTCCAGACTCTTGTACTATCTGACGGACCTCTCGGTCACAATATATAACTGCGGGATTTGAAAACGTTAACATGCATTGAAGGAAATGGTATAGTAATAGCATTGCCACTGTCTTTGTTCCCCCTGGCTTCAAATGGTGATAGTCTGATTGGACAGTAGTCTCTAAATTAACTGACATCAAATGCTCCAACTGGGCTAATAAAGACGGAAATATCCTGAGAAACAGAACTGATAATAAATTTGTTTTATATTTCAGCCCAAATTAAAAATGTAGCCTTAAATAAACCAACCTATCAGAGTTCTACAGCACATGGAGGTGTATCATCTAGAGCTGTAGATGGCAATACTAATGGTGTGTATACTGGAAGATCATGTACCCATACACGACGAGGTTCACTTCGTTGGTGGTGTATTGATCTACAACAAGTATTCAATATCATCAATATTAACATACATAACAGAATCTACAGTAAGTTAGCTTTGAACATACTAGTAACCTTTGGTCGACCATACTATATGAAGTATACACGATTACATGATTGAAGTGCATGCCATTTCGACACGCTGGATCTTATTTGAAATATAAAAGGTATAGTCAGTCGTAAAAAAAGCATAAATGAACGGGTTATAATTGTAGAACACCTTAATCTAAAGTGCAAATTTTCAATCGGAATTAAAACCATAGCATTAGTTGATGAGAATAATAAACAACTAAATTTGGGTAAAATAACAAAACAGTGTGTGAATATAATACACCGATACTGATCTAACAATCTCTCCATATCAGGGTCTCATGCAAGGGACAGAGTATTCTCACTAGAATCGTCCCAGTACTCGCATTTCACATGCGTCAAGTAACGGGAAGGCTGTTATAGACAAGCAACAAATACCAAATCTCATTTGATGGGGTTTCGGGGATCACGGTGGGTATGTGGGTAAGACGCTGGCTCGCTAGCCTGGAGGTCGGGTGTTCGATACCTGCATTGGCCGAGAAAGTTCATCCAGATTTTCGAGCGTGGTTTCCCCTTGTCAGTGATGCAGGACGGAGGGCCTGACAAGGACAGCTGTATAGTCGTTCGGATGGGACGAAAACCGAGGCCCTGTGTACACATTGGCGTGCACGTAAAAGATCCCTTGGCAGTTGGAATTCGTTATAGCTGTTCCTCGGAGGACCGGATTATCATCGAGGAAAAACTAAAAGTATACAGACTAGCTAAATAAAATCTTCCGCAATGCCTTCAGTCCTCGTCCATGACCAATTTTGTACCACCCTAATAATTAGACAAATGATGCGACCGAGTAAAATAAACTTAAAAAAAAAAGAAACTACTATATATTAATCGAATACAATAACCACAAATGAGCTACATTAATATACGGCAAATGATGTTAATGAAAAGTTAATTGTCTTGCAAATAAAGTGCAAACGGAAAATAGAAATTCTACAAGATTCTAACATTGATTTAGTTTGCAAAACGGAAAATGTTCTGATTTTCTGAAATCAACAAAAAAAAAAAAAAAAAAAAAAAAATTTACATACGTGATCAGGAATCGATCTGTTAAGTAATAGTCAATGTGTTTTGGATACAGATATGTATCTCAATTGACCAATTCTCGAATGATCATATTACTTATGAGAACGTCTTTTCGCTGCACACAACAAACATTTACACAGATAACCACATAGGTGACCATATCCAATCATGTATTTATACATGGAGCCCATATGGATGTCTATCTCCAGAAAGAGCAGTATTGGAATATACTGTATAGTCATGGTTAATTGTAATGTTTGTAATAACCTTAGATTCCCTTTACTTGTTATTATTTCGTTACTATTTCGCTGTTAAATTTATAGTTACAAACAAGCAAAGTAACCGTAATGACTCAAACCGGAAGACGAATGCGCTCGATTATGTTACAATTAGTGAAAACTGTCTAGTATGGAACAAAAGTTGCTGACTAGCACTTCTGTGATGCGCACCTTTAAGAAATAATGTAATATATGAAATTGCTAAGTACAATTAAGAAAAGAAATAGGGTTTAACGTCCTACCTGTCCGCACCAAACGGCATACGCCATGCAGTTTGCTGTGAGAGAAATTTAGTCCCGAAAGTGGTGTTTCCCCCTACTCTTCGTCGAGACGTAACTGTCATTTACGTACATGCTAACGTGTACACAGGACCTCGGGTTTTCGTTCGTCCCATCCCAACGACTAGACGATTTGTCCTGCGAATCTCCCTTCCTAACCACTGACAAGGAAAGGCCATGATGAAAATCAACAGTATTTAATTCAATTAAAAGATAGTGTATTTTGTTTTACAGATCAAGACAGAATACGAGGATTTGAGATAAAGCTACGATCGGATGGTGAGTGTAATGAACAAGGATTTGGATCAGCTACATCATGTTATATAAATACACCACCAACAATACAAGATGTATATACTATAGATAGATGTAATCAACAACCATCTACATCTTTATCTGCTAGAACAGTGTTTATCAGTGTTACTGGTATACTTACATTGTGTGAAGTTGAAATATATACAGGAAAGTTTCGTTACTTTATTTACAAGTATGTCCAACTTTATAAGTAAGTTGTGATATGCGATCAATGATATAGTAAATCACGATATATTTTGCAAATTAAAATCGGGAGATGGAATATCAATAGTACAAAGCTAACGTCCATGTATTTCAAAGAAACAGAGAGGGAGGGCGAGAGAAATGGGGTCATTTCGGGACTAACATATGGTTCAATTTTATTTCAATAATACGCTTGAGTGTATGTGTCTTTATCAGTGGGAGGACACCGGAGGACCCAGAAAAAACCCACGAGGTTGGGCAGGCAACCCAACTCCTTGTCACGTACAGCCGGGGAATCGAAACACGCCAGTTGACTCAATGACAGACCTTATGATACACCGCATACGCGCTAACCATTAGGCCATCCAACCCTCTTCAAAGAAAAAAGAACGCCAAGAACAAAATTTCGATTTCTTCTTGTACTCATTTATCACAGTTCATATATCTAATTTCTATTTATTGAGATTAATTCACATTGAGACACTGGCTTATCTGTGCTTTGTCATGATGTACCATTTATGGTATGAAATGAAATGGGGTTCAACGTCCTACTGTTCTGCTCCTAAACTGGGCTAATGAAGACGAGCATACGCCATACAGTGTGCTATGAGGGAAATATTGCCCGGGCAGCGGCGCTACGGCCTACTCTTATATCGAATTCCAACTACCAAGGGATCTTTTACGTGCACGCCAATATGTATACAGAACCTCGGTTTTTCGTACCATCCGAACGACTAGACAGCTGTCCTTGTCAGGCCCTCCGTCATGTATCACTGACAAGGGGGAAACCACGCCGGAAAATCTGTATGAACTTTCTCGGCCAATGCAGGGATCGAACACCCGACCTCCAGGCTAGCGAGCCAGATTTATGGTATGTTTTATCGCCCAGATCTCTTTTTTTTTCTTTAACAACATGGATGACACCACCTCTTTAATTTATCTGATGAGACTTAAATTGATATCAGCTGATGAATATCTTTTCACATAGAAACAGTAATACACTACAGTCAACAGTCAACAGTTCTAACTTAACGTTCATATTTTAACTCAACATTTGTTCATTAGAATACACATCGATTGTCGTTTTATTCTGGACACAGCAATATTGAGTTCTCAGCTACCCTGTCAGAATTCTATCGAAGACTGAAGTACAGGTATAATCCACTTTTCCAGGTTGTAAAGTTGATAACAGCCTGGTTGGTTTTGTACAAACTGATTACATCAGTTATCTACATGTAAGACTTGTGACAAATCAAATGGTATTCGTAATGATTGTATGCTATATTTCAGACGGTTGTCCAGACCAGTATTATGGTGTAGCCTGTGAGAATCAGTGTAACGTCAACTGTAAAGATAGATTATGTGATTCAACATCTGGTATTTGTAATGGTGAATGTATTGGTGGTTATTGTACTAATGGTTGTAAAGTAGGATGGTATGGAGATACATGTGATACATCATGTAGTCAACTGTGTTCTGGTGGCTGTAGTAGAACAACAGGTGTTTGTAATGCTTGTTATAGAGGTAGATATGGTCCAAATTGTCAAGAGAATTGTAGTAGTGGGTGTCAGTACAATGCCTGTGATACAGGTAATGGTTATTGTACCCACTTATGTAAAACCGGTTTCTCTGGTAATAAATGTGATCCATGTAAACAGGGTAAATATGGTACCAACTGTCAAGAGAACTGCAGTAGCGGATGTCAGAACAATATCTGTAATAAAGATGATGGATATTGTACTTGTAAATCTGGATTTTCTGGTAATAAATGTGCTTCATGTAAACAAAGTAAATATGGTACAAACTGTCAACAGAGCTGTAGTGATGGCTGTAGAAATAATTATTGTTATAGATATACTGGTGACTGTACACAAGGGTGTAATAGAGGAAGATTTTCATCAAACTGTGGATCAACATGTATAACTACTTACTGTTTAGGTAGCTGTGATAAGAATACAGGACAGTGTTCTACGTGTAGACTTGGTTACCATGGTACCAACTGTCAACAAAGATGCAGTGGTGGTTGTATACAATATTACTGCAATAAAGATACTGGTGACTGTTTAGGTGGTTGTATCAGAGGAAGATATTCGCCAAACTGTGGGTCAACATGTGAAGTAACTAACTGTAAAGGTAACTGTAACAGGAATACAGGACAATGTTCTAGCTGTATACCAGGTTGGTATGGTACAAACTGTGAAACTAGATGTTCTAGTAATTGTACTGAAGAATGTAATAAATCAACAGGTAGATGTGCAGAATGTAAACCAGGAATATTTGGTGATGATTGTAATAAACCATGTCCTGTTGACTGTCTTGCTACTTGTACCAGGAACGATGGTAAATGTAATAGATGTAAACCTAATACAGTTGGTCTATATTGTAATTCTACATGTGGTGCTGAATGTCTACCAATTCCAGATGGGACTCAAGAAACATGTAATAGAGATGGTAGATGTAGTGAATGTATTATAGGAAGATATGGTGATGGATGTGATCAGCACTGTAGTACAACATGTGATGGTAGATGTGAACGACACGGTGGCAAATGTGATAGATGCATTACAGGAAAACATGGTGATGGATGTGATAAGATCTGTAGTACAACCTGTAAAGATGGGTGCGATAGAACAAGGGCTACATGTAATACCTGTTTTAAAGGTATAAGCGGAGATAAGTGTGATGAGAACTGTAATGAAAATTGTACTGTTTGCAATCAGTATGATATCAACAACTGTTCACAATGTAAAGATGGAAAATATTATGGAACATCATGCAATTACCCGTGTAGTTCTAACTGTAAATATAGCTTATGTTCTCAGATGGATGGGGCTTGTTCTGTTGGTTGTGTGGAGGGTAAAACGGGACAACATTGCTCTGAAAGTAAGATTTGTTTATGTATCATTTGCATTTATTTTGATCAAAATCTATTACCACATGTAAGCTTAGGTTTTTATTTGACTAATAGAATAATCGATATTGTTAGGTAGCGTTGAAGTTAAAACGGGGCTACTTAGCCCTAAACGTAAGACATGTTTACTTATAATTTTCGTTTAATTTGACCAAATTCATTTGACCAAAAGCGCAATCGATATAAGGAGGCGATATAAGGAGGCGATATTAGGGGCCCCCAAATTTCTTCTAAAACAATCTTTTAATAAAGGGTATTGAAATTTATGATTTTATGATTGTTTTGTATTATGTTGTATATGTTTGTGCAACATACATCTATCTATCTATCTATCTATCTATCTATATATCTACCACAGTGACATACAAATTTCATGCCCCCTTTCCACTGTTGATGCAAGGGGGCCCTTTCACGCTTAATCTGTTTCTGGTTGGATTAATGTTTTAAGAAAGATGTCCAGACTGGTGGGATAAAAGGAAGTCCACCAATGTCTTACAATAGACTCTGCGTTAAGCTTGCAGGTGCTATTTGAGTATGAGCGTAGACAAAATTTCGAGATGGTCACGTAGAAAAACGATGATCAAATTCATGTTCCTCGTGATCGCGTCCTCAATTAAAAAATCCTCTGAACAATTATATGAATTATTTCAGATTGTACTTGGGGATTTTATGGTGAGAATTGTAACAGAACCTGTGGAAATTGTGCTCAGAATGCATCATGTGCGATAACCAGAGGAAGTTGTGGTTTAGTTGGATGTATAGAAGGTTATACAGGAGATAAATGTCAGGAGGAAAGTAAGAGAAAAACAATATTCTATAAAGTCAAATATCGATATAATAATATAGAAATATGTATGCTTTATATCATTAATTTTAATACCACTGCTATGGAAACCAGAGAATTACTAAAGTATTATTGTAAAGGAACGACTAATTTTGATATGCTGCTTTAAAAAAACCCATCAACATGAGGCCTATAATATTGCCATTGAAAGTAAGCAGGAAGTATATATTATCCTTTATCCGCTATGTGTTAAGGAAGTTTTTGCTTTTAATAATAACTTGCTGTGGTTTTTTTTAATATTAATCAGTCCACGTTGATAATAACAATTTGACAAACACTGTATTTTCCTTACAGTTAAGAAAGGTGAATATTAGAAACACGATATCCGAAATGCTATTAATGACATAATAAAACACTTTCCCTATATATCAATTTATATAACTATATTTTAGAGAATCCTGATTCGGTTGTGCTACCTGCTGTTGCATCTGTTATTATTGTTATTATTGGTGTTTTACTTATTGTTGTTGTGGTTGTTATGTTGAGAAGGTAAGCATAACATAGTTCAGCTTTAAACATAAACCATAACATTTATAGACCATTGCATATCGTTCTGCATGAGTGTATTCATAGTGACTTGTTGATATAATATAATTTAACTATATAGTATTGTTGGGCGTCATATAAGAGGTACAGATGCTTATTGTTTCTTGAACACACGAGACAACGTTAGTCTATTTCACACGATAATATCTGAAATGTAATTTTATGAGTATGAACTTTTTTGTTTCCATGTTATTTTATTAGTCATAGTCAGTAAGAAAAAGATGATATCAATATTCTGTAAAATAGCTTTAAATTAAAGCGACATGCTCATGTTTTGAACTGTTGGTAATTTAAATATATATTACAGAAACAGGAGAAATGGTAATGTACCGGTACCAGCTTCTAAAGATAATGAATATGAAAATTTCAATTTGAAGAAATCGGATATTAAATACATTTCTCCAGGTAATTCAGGGTACAACCCCAAATTAATTTTTGGCATTCAAAACGCAAAACACAATTTAAAAGCAACTTTATAGTTAAATCCCAACTTGGTAGTATTCTGTAAATTAATTTTATTTCCCACCCCCATTTCAGCCCTGCAAACGATTCTAACGCCCCTTCTCTTTAAAATTAACCAAACTAAATAAATAAAATATAACTTTTACTAACATTCGGTTAATGTGAAACATAAAAGATTCTTATTGCAGTGGCTGTTTGATAGTTACACCCCTCCTCACCCCCAACAAACACACACACATTCGCACATATAAATTCATATATATATTTGAAAGCGTGAAAATCCACTTGCTATCTCTCCATCTTGTCTAAATTTCTTATATGATTCTATTTCTCATATTATAGAACAAGTCATAGATAATGGAGAATCTGCTTATGTTAATGATGCCAGATCAGATGTTTATGTTAATGATGCCAGATCAGATGTTTATGTTAATGATGCTAGACCAGATGTTTATGTTAATGATGCTAGACCAGATGTTTATGAAAACATCCAAATTACACGATCCAAAACTTGTATCGATCTGAAGGATTTGTGGGAAACCATTCAAAGAAAGAAACAAGATGAATCTTTTAAACCAGAATATCAGGTAAATCAAATACTTTGTTGAATACAGTATTATATTATTATATCAGTTCAAATTGATATCCTCTTGCTTTCATCCACTATTTTACCTTTTATTATATATTATAAACTCTTGTTTGCATTACCTGTCCCATATGGTTTAAGGTTAAGGTGTACATAATCGGGCAGAGCAAATGATAATTAATGAAATTCATTACACACAAAAACAGCTTTTTATATCGATTCTGTTGTTATAATTACATTACTTTGCAAAATAATCTAGTTACATTACTTAATATTATAATCAAGTTATATTTCTTGAAAACATTATAATCTAAATATATTATTTTACAATATAATCCAGTTATATTACTTTACAATAATATTTATTTATAAGAAACTTCCGAAAGACCTGTGTTCACCAGTTGATGTTTGTCTGAACGATGTTAATCGACCTAAAAATAGATACATGAATATATGTGCTTGTAAGTCGCCATTTATATAACATTTAGTACACTTTAAAATGTTAGATAAAATGTTTTTCATTTTAAAAATGTCCATTTATGGCTATCAGTTCATTAAGAATTAAATAAACTTATGCGTTCTACTAATTGTACTATATTTAAAATTAAAATAGAGTTTTTTCTTGGGATCTTGGGGTGTATCAAACGACAAACGGGCTCTATTTAATGAATAGAAATATTGAATATTTCAGTTGATCACGCAAGGGTGAAGCTAGATATTGAAAATGATGATCCCACTTCAGATTATGTCAACGCCTGTTATATTACTGTAAGATAAACATCAATTTCTTTTTCTACCTTAAGGTAAAATATATAAATTTCAATATGTAATTTGGGCTTATTTATAGATCCATGGAAAAAGTATTATACACTTATTGTGCTAAATATTTGCTTATACCGCCAGTAATTTTTTTATTTAAATTTTGTAGGGGTATAAAAATGTTAAGAATAAGTACATCGCTTCACAAGGTAGTCAATTATTATTATTTATGAGTTAATTGCTTCATTGTCAATTCTTTATTATTATAATGAATATATTATAACGTATAGACATTTTTAGTTAGGTGATACATGTAAACCTCATATTGTATCTGCTAATATAAAGTGGACTTTATGTCTTAAACGATACTTTCACCATGTTTCTTTTCTAATACCACTGCTAAAATCGCATAGTTTTAATTTGTATTCAGTGTTATAAATTTCACATTGATCTATATAATGGTATATATAATACTTAGGTCCTAATGAAGTTAACATCAATGAGTTTGTCAGGATGCTTTGGGATGTTAAAACTGGAAAGATTGCCATGGTTACTAATCTACAAGAAGTCGGTGGAGTAAGTTGTATCTTAAAAGGATAGTCCATAGCAGTTGTCAGTCGGTGTTACAAATAGATGCGGAAATTATTATATCTAATGTATGAAGAATCTAATACAAAATGATCTCATTGCTGCAAATATAAAATTAAAGACATTATCGTACATGTGTATTGTTCTAGGAATAATTACCCATCATTATAATGGTTCATGTCTGCGTTGACCCAATCTATCGTTACAAGCTTCAAAAGTATCAATAACAACTATCTTAGATTACGATAATATTCCCCAATAATTTAGATGATTCATGATCACATTTTCCCGAATAAATATTGTGCGACACCTCCCATTCAGTCTAGACTGAGAGTTATTTCCTTCTTATATTTGTATTTTGTAATTAGAAACTTCTTTTGTTGATATAATAATGTCGATTTTTTGTTGGATAATATCAAATTAAATGCAACACAAAAACAGAAATATCATACTTTAACATATTGTCTTTACTAACAGATGAAATGTTTAAAATACTGGCCATCAAGTGGCAAGGTAAAGACTTTCAGAAAGATAAAAATTGAACTGATTGAAGAGGATGTATTGGCTCATTTTACTATTAGGACATTAAAAATAACGAAAGTAAGTAAGCTGTATTACTAAAATATGATATCCATAATAAGACAATTTAATCGTCAATAAACTTTGTTGTAGGTAAAATATATATATTAATTAAGAATTAAACCTCGTTTTATACAGGATGAATGTGGATCCCGGACAATTAAACAATACCATTATACATCATGGCCTGATAAAGGTGTTCCGATTGATATGGCGTCATTAGTAGAATTCAGAAACAAGGTTAACAAATCAAGAACACGCCATCCAGGACCATTAGTTGTACATTGCAGGTTGGTTGGGTTTTTTACGTGTGTTGGAGAGTTACTTCTGTAACAAAGTTTGTGAATTTGAATATTATGTTCTGAAATGAAATACGACATATTTTTTAATATAAGAACATATTTCATTATCATATCTTATTGCAATGTACATACAACGTCTGCTAAAGGTGAGATATTAATAATTATAGTGGTCTGTTCCATGTTTTTCAGTGCTGGTATTGGACGAACAGGAACATTCTTAGCTTTAGATTATCTGATAGAAGAAGGTAAAGCTGAAGGTTCTGTTGATGTTTTTAAATGTATTTCACAGATGAGAAGAGAAAGAGTAAATATGGTTCAAACTAATGTAAGTTGAAGATTATAAAGTAAATGTACAAACTCAGATCAAATATGATATACTGTGATATAGTTACTCAGTTCAAAGATAAGTTTAAATAAAGACTTCAGCTGACAAAATATATGACTCAATCTCCGTTTGTTTCCTTTACTCTTCTACTGTCTCACTAACAACTCGCCTGTTTATACCATTAAACCTTATATTTACAAACTCAGATCAAATATGATATACTGTGATATAGTTACTCAGTTCAAAGATAAGTTTAAATAAAGACTTCAGCTGACAAAATATATGACTCAATCTCCGTTTGTTTCCTTTACTCTTCTACTGTCTCACTAACAACTCGCCTGTTTATACCATTAAACCTTATATAAGGTGAATACATTTAAACTATTTATAACTGTAATTAAAATCCCACGTTGACATCATTAGACTATATAAAGAGAGAGAGGAGAGAGAGAGAGAGAGAGAGAGTGAGAGATGGGATTTAACGTCCACTCGACACAAACTAGGTCATTTCGGGACTAACATATGGTTTAATTTTATTTTAATAATTCGCTTGCGCGTAGGGGTCTTTAGCAGTGGGAGGAAACCGGAGGACCCGCAGAAAAACCACGAGGTTGGACAGGCGACCCAACTCCTTGTCACGCACAACTGGGGATTCGAAACCACGCCAGTTGACTCAATGACAGGCCTCATGATACAGCTCGCACGTGCTAACCATTCGGCCATCCAACCCCCCAAACTATATAAAATGAATGCATTTAAACTATTTAACAATACAAGATGTAATGAAATTTAAATTACTTAATATTAAGTACTTGACAATGACGGTTAGTCATTAAGTAAGTGAGATCATTTCTGTCAATAAGGAGTGTGACTTAGAGATAATAAAGCTTGGACACAATGATATGTCATATCGTTTACGATGTTTCTTCACATGCAAGTTAAGGACAACAGACTAATTATTCAGATATTGACTGTTTGTCATTAAGTAAGCAATAAAGGATGTAGATTATTTCTGTCAAATACAATTTTAGCTTAAAGACTATCCAGTACGGTGTTTCGCACAAGCTAAATAATTAATTTAGTTGATAAACTTTATAAGGTAGAAATAGTATATATGATTCTAAACGAATCTAACTTTCCTATAATAAATCAACGTTACTAATCTCCAATCGTTTAGTTCAAGCCACACCCTGGTCAGACAGAAATACAATTACTTCTTATTCTATTTAAGATAGATATGGCGACATATATAAAGTACATGTATCGTGTTTCTCATTTACTATGCATATGTATTCTGTCGATTTTCTAGGATTTTAATGTTCTTGATAAATTTTTCCAGGATCAGTATGTATTTCTACATGAAGCTATATTAGAATGGTATATAGCTGGTGATACTACTACGACTGTTACATCTTATCAAGGTGTTTATCAAGATCTTCTTAAAGTTAAACAAAGTTCTGGTAAATGTGAACTAGAAGAAAAGTTTGAAGTAAGTTATGGAATATTCCCCCACTTCCGTTATGTCCGTTTATACATAATAAAGGGGACTAACAAACATGGGTAGATATCGAATATCAAAAGTATATATTTTATAATGTTTGTATGGGGGAAGAAACTATATGATAATAACTAAAGCTTCCAGCAACATGAAATGAAATGGAAGTTAGTCTGGCAATGGATTATGTGCAATTATAGACTATTCTCTATTGTAGATGATGAACCAGGTTTGTCCGAAATATACAGACGCTGATTATTCTACAGCTTTACTGAGAGAAAATCGAAACAAAAATCGAATAGGAACAATATTGGCTTGTACGTAGTGCTGTTTTATTTCTATTAGAAAGGGGAGTTAACTTTCATTACTATCGAGATTAAAATATGGTAGATTATTTTATTCAATCACTTGCTTGTACGCAGGGGTCTTTCGGGGCCAGTGGAAATAATCAGAGAAAACCTACCTAATTAGGCTGCTGGAAAAAAAAACACATTGTAAAGAACAAGTACAAAACTGTGAACAATTCCATAATCTTACAGATATAACAGCGCGGCCTGATGATATACGAGTATAACGAAAGGTTCAGACAACCCTGTTATAACGAAAGGTTCAGACAACCCTGTTATATTGATAGTTATACCCTTTGCATAACAAAACATTGGATGAATATTAATACCGAAAAACTTTAATCTGCCAAACTTTGTGTTCCAAATCAGCCCAATTGTTATTTTACTTAAAATAAAGAAACTTAAATGAAGTCTAAAAAATATTTTAATCGTGTTACACATACACGTATTGTATATTTTTTACAGATGAAAAGGCTCGACCATATTTGTCAATAACAGTCCCGAATACAACAGATTACATAAATGCAGTTTATATACCAGTAAGTAATGTTTCTGATCTTTTATAGTTTACACTAGTTTTAGATAGGATCATTATTGCTGAGCTATATTTTCTAAGGTGGTTAATGTATATTTTAACACAACTTCATTTGTAGAGCTACAGAAGGAAACGAGCTTATATTTTGACCCAGACACCATTACCTAATACTGTTATAGATTTCTGGAGAATGGTTATACAAACAGAATCTCAAACAATCGTTGACCTTGATTATGGACAGAATAAAAATAAGGTAAAATTGGACATAATTTAAAATTAGTTATAGTTGGGGGTGCTCGATTGTCAGTCCGTAACGTCCCGAATTGACAAAATTGCAATCAAGTGATATGGAATACAGCCCTTTCACAGTTCTGCCAGTCCCGGTAGTTGAGGTGGTGTGAGTAGAATCGTGGCGTATTTTAAGTAACAAATATGTTTCAGTTGTCATGATTGGTTGAGATATTTTTTATGCAGTCGGCACATGCGTTGTACTCCCAATTTCTCCTCCTTTTGGCTCGATTGACACTATTTTTGGAATTGAGAAAATTCAATTCCGGAAGGTTCAGTCAGTTATCCCCGTAGGGTCTCCCAATCTTTTCACCTTTTTGTAAGAGCTGGGTTTCAATTTAAAAAAGAAACAAAAAAAAACCTTCTCACAGGCGAATTACAGACATACAAGCAAAGTTCATATGACGTTCATGTTTTTAGCCGTCAGAGATGGCTATCGAATGTGTATGCCCTTATGGTAAGATTCTTCATATATCGTCTAATATTCAAGACATCAAGTCGTAAATAGTATTGTCCAAGGTAAGATTGATTAAACCAGAGTAAATAAATATCATCCTGAAAGAAAGATGTCATAACTATGTTATATCTGTTTAGGATGTTTATATGCATATTATAGAGTTTGTAACTATATCTATTCAGGGTGTTGGTCAGTATCTACCAAGAGATAAACCACTAAACTGTGAACCCTTTACTATAACTAAAACAGAAGAAATACAACAGGAATTTTATACAATTATAACATGTCAGGTTACAAGTACTTCACAAGATGTAAGTTGATTATTGTAACGGCTTTATTCAATCAACTATTTTTATTTGTATCTGGGAAGTTATTCTGTTTTAGAAATTCTTGTTGTAGTCTATACTATTCATTAAGATTTGCTTTATTGTCGTTTGCTTCGTTGCAAGAGGCGTCGTACTAAATAGAATTGCTAATTATGTGGCTAAGTATACGCGAAAGACCCCTAAAGTGTTAATCAGCGATCTCAACAACTCTTTGGGATGATATGATATTATTTACTTTATTTTGACAATAAGGTTCTTATTATTGACAATGGTTCATTCACACTAACTGTGACTCTTAACTTATCTATGTTTATAATATACAGAATAACTTAGACCAAACGGTTAGAATCTACCAGTGTACATTTTGGAAAGGCCGAGACAACACACCCAAATCATCCAGTCCCCTTTTCACCCTGTTGGAACACATTCAGACATGGAAATATGATCAAACAGAAAACCCAATTATTGTACACTGTCGGTAAGTTAAAATATAAATGTTACAAGTATGAATATAACCATAGTAAGCCTTATCCCCGTGTTTTTTTATTATGAATTTTTTAACTAAATGAAAAATACCAACGTTGTAACACAAAACGCTTTAGATTTATATACCGCGTTTTAAAACACACCCTAACGTTTAAACCCTATTGCAGATCTGTATCTAAAACACCCAAGAGAGAAGACCTGGATAAATCTCTCAAAACCCCTGTGAAACATCGGAAAAATTATTCAATAAAACATTGCTTTTAAAAAAAGATAAGATTTTAGTACATCTATGACTGCAATTGTGTGTTGCTACTAGTAAATATATATGTGTATATATTTCTGTAATTTTGTTTTATATGGACAGGGGCATACTCTATTGTTGATTACTGCGTCTGATTGGTATTGAGAATCTTGGTCTTCATTTCGTTCACGTGCAATTGTATTTTGTTTACATGTTTAAGTATCTGACAATATGTTTGTTTATGTTTACATATTGGAGCTAATTGTCATTTTGAGCAGACGGGTCCGTTCAGTTAACAAACTGCATTGATACATATTTTCTCTGTTAATTTTGCTTAACGGCACCCCAATATACACAGATTACTAACGGGAGGACGCAATGATTTATAGATTACTAACAATTGGACGTCATAGAAACACCCTTGAACTGTTTTAATCATAGTTTTTAACATAATATAAATATCATATTTGTTTAGAACTGGTGTGGACAAGGGGGGATTACTCTGTGTTCTGGCAGCCATCTTAGAAAGATCAACCATAGAACAAGACGTCAGTGTGTTACAGACTATAATACAGCTTCGAGTATCCAGACCACAGATTATTACTTGTTATGTGAGTAACCACACGCTTTTCACTTATATTAAGCCGTTTTTTTAAAAAAAAAATATATATATGCTAATGTGTACATAGGTATGTTCCTCTAATATTTCCCTTGCTTGCACTATTACACTAATGCGTCACGTGTATTTATGAATTAAGGATAATCAGAAGTCCTATTTCCTGTATGTTAACGCCAACAACCCTCTGTTGATGAATTATTTTGTATCAGTCAAAATTAATCACCTTATCAAGTGTATTAAAAAGCATTTTAACTTTATTTATAAATTTTAATCTGTATCACTGTAACAGTCTAATTTATTGCTGGTTATATTTACTTTCAGGAACAAGTGAAATTTTGTTTCGATGCTATTGGTAATTATCTGGATCATTTCTCAATGTATGCCAATTCTTGTTGATTGTAAGTTATAATATACATCGTATTATTATGAAACTTGATAATGTTATTGTTACATTTGATATTAGACAGGTAATTTTTCAAAAATCTGCATTTATAAATAGCTTATATTACTAGGTACGGTATTCGTTATAATATTTTACAGAAGGAGTGAGGTTATCATCATTGGCGTATAGACGTCACAAAGAATAGGGTTGTATATTAATATAAGTTAGAATGACAGTAATAATTGTTGCATTTCTATACCGCAAGATTTCAAATTAATATATGCTCTCTGAGCGTATAGATTCCTTTAATTAGGTTTCATCTCATGTGTTTGTTGCTATTGGTAATTAGGCATAGTCGTAAAATTAGAAATACAGTATGATAAGTATTTGACATCAAATATAATAAAATCGAAACTTTTATTATTCGTATTTTTGTTTGTTTTGTTTGCTTATTATTAGTTAACTACAATTTGTATATTTAATCCATTCATTCTTTTCGTTATATTTATATTTTTATACTATTAATATACAATAACTATGTTTTTCATATTTATGTTTGTGCTGTTTGTTTTTTTTATCTGTTAACTACATTGGTATATTTACTTTATTTATTCGTTACGTCATAATGTTTATATTTTTATAATTACATTATTGTCATATCCAAATTATCAGAAAACCCCCAATATTATATTTTCTAAAACTATTAACTTTAAAAACATTTTATAGTAACGTATTTCGGATTGTAAATCTAAAAATACGAGCGGTGACATTTAACAGCATCACGAGTTGGCATACTTCCATCCTTTCAAAACTGTTTTTCGGTGACTTATTTTTACTGTGTTGTAATTAGTATAATAATTCTATACAATTAAATCAACACTTTAATTATTCGTACTTTTGTTTGCTTAGTATGTAACTACAATTTATTTATTGGGTACGTCATAGTTTTATCTTTATAGTATTAAAAAGACATTAATTTCGAATAAGAGGATATAATTATTTGACTATCAGAAGTCATATCCAAATTATCTAGAAAGCCCCAAAATATTTTCTTAAACTATAAACTTTAAAAATATTTTGTGGGGACGTATTTCGCATTGTAAATCTAAAATTACGACGTGTAACATGTAACGTCATTACGTGTTGGCATATTTCAAGCTTTTTAAAACTGATTTTCTGTGACCTGTTTTTATTTTGTTGTTAGTATAATAATTATATAAAATATTATTTGTCAATTCTTTGTATTATATCACGTTAAAGTTTTTCTTCATATGTTTATAATATGTTTTTGCGTAAAGTTTTATGTTATATATTTTATTGCCGAATTATAATATTTTCTAAATTATATTTTCATATTTTCGCTGTAAATTTTCTATTAATATCTGTAATATATGTTTTAATCGTTTTGTACGCCTCACTTAAATGGCTACGTTTACGTTAATTAATATTAACCAAATTGTTGTAACAATTTTAATATCTTAATCGTTTTTGTACAAGCTCGCTCTACTTTTTCTGCATTTTGCATGGCGACTGTTGTTGACGTGTGGTCTAGAATTGAATACGGTCGTTTGAAGAGACTGGTTTTGGTGAATAATCATAATTTAGGGCATAACAGAGTTTACAAGTTAACATCTGTGGGGTGCCGAAGTTTTTCTTAGCATTCGACTATCCCTCCTTCGACAATTCTTGGTTTAGTTCTTTTTATAGCCCTTTCACACAATTTTCTATGTAGGTTACTGTTTAAGATAACAGTCGGTTTAAGTTACAGATCACTCTTAATTTTCCCAAAGAAAAATATTCTAAGGATGAAAAATAGCCCGTTCACACAATTTTCTATGTAGGTTACTGTTTAAGATAACAGTCGGTTTAAGTTACAGATCACTCTTAATTTTCCCAAAGAAAAATATTCTAAGGATGAAAAATGATAAATGACTCTAAAAGGACAACATCAATAATATATGGTAAAACTCTTCACGTTTTTGACCCATCTGTGCATAACGTTTGAGAGGCGAAATTGGTGGTCTGCCTCCGTTTACTCGAATACATAATGAGACTTACCTCGCTTACGAAATAACGGGACTGTCCGTTAATTATAATGAATTACTTTAAAGAAAATATCCATTTAGTACAATGCTCAAAAGCCGTGAATATACTGAAAATATTCATTTAGTACAATGCGCAAAACCCGTGGATATACTATAGAAAGAATAAAGAAAATTGATTTTTATTATTCTACACATCAACTGATTGTTGCTTGTTTTGTGATTCATAATAAATTTTGCTTTATATTTTAATAAATAAGATATATTAAAAACGTCTCGTGTCGTCTTCATATTTTTTTAGCCTAAAAGATGCCTTCCTGGGTACAAACTGTGTGATTAGATGATATATTTGCACCATAACATTGGCGTGCACGTAAAAGAACCGTTGTCAGTTGGAATTCTATATAAGAGTAGGACGTAGCCTTGCTGTCCAAACAAAATTCCCTTTGTAGCACATTGCATGGCGTATATCGGTCTTCTTTACCCCATTTCATTTTATTCTCGAATATTATTCGTTATTCCAGATATGCAATATCACAGAAGCTAAATAAATAATTAAATGTTCAAAATAAAGTGCGACATGTATTATATTCACACAAAAAGTTGTCGGTGTAGATTGGTGCTCGCTCCAGTTCAGTTTGAGCATAATAACGTCTACACATCGATTATAACATGCAAATATTTCACATTTCATTCAATACTTTTAAAAACAAAATACAAAGGGAATTTTGACGCAACTTACAAGACCACGTTGTTTACATTTTAAATATATTAACAGAGAGATAAAAATTGCTTCGATTGAGTCCATTTTGTTGACTGTTCTGAGCATTATCAAATTGCTGAATGTTTTCGCATGGTGCGTATTGACTTAAATGATCTATGTGATTAATGTGTAAAAGTAGAGCAACTATACTACAAGAATAACTCTGTTATGTTAAGAGTTCATTGGCCGGCTTTGAAGTCACGTAAATAAATCACAATAAATACATACATTACATTAGATATGTGTAGCATTATTATGACCTTAGCATAATAATGGTTTCAAATTCGTAAATAAGTTTTATTAGGTAGGACAAAAAGGAAATTCTAGTGAAATAGATACTACATTCTGTAATTAAAAACAATTCATCTTTAAACAAAGTACAGGGATTGGCAAGTGCCGCCATTTCCTTCCTTTTATTTTTACCAAGAGCCAGCATTTACCATCTTTATGTAAAATAAATGAGTGGAATTTACCAGATATGATATCAGAGCTAGTTTTACAAATATGGAAATATGTTGTTTACATAGGAAATTGGTACATAGGAAGGAACAGGCCGGTCACAATTGTTGTAGAAGCCTTGTGTCGCAAGATTAGAAACCTCTTGCAAGCGAAAGTGAGAATCCGGTATCTCCACCATAATACAACCATGTACCTTTTAGGTCTTCTCAAATGTCAATGCACGGTCTTCGAATTTTGTCTGGGGGGTTGGGTTTCCGAATGGTTAAAACGTGCGCGCTGTATCATAAAGTCTGTCATTCAGTCAACTGGCGTAGTTTCGATTCGCCGGTTGTACGTGACAAGGAGTGTAGGGTCGCCTGTCCAACCTCGTGGTTTTCTCCGGGTCCCCCGGTTTCTCTCCTACCGCTAAAGACCCCTACACGCACGCGAATTATTGAAATAAAATTGAACCTTATGTTAGTCCCGAAATGACCTAGTTTGTGTCGAGTGGACGTTAAAACCCCCTCTCTCTCTCTCTCTCTCTCTCTCTTTCTCTCTCTCATTTTGTCTAATGGTATGGATTGTTCGTACTTGGTTTTATTTTATTTCTGAATGACGCAATAGCTACTAGTTGGATTAATAGGTCCCCCTAATTTAGACTAGAACGTTATGTGGCCCATGGGCCCATTGTCGTTTGCGGTCGACTCTGCATGTTTTGCAAGGAAAATATGTCACTTCTGGAAGTGTTTAATTCTTACATTTAACATTGTGGTAAGCATATATTTTGCAAGAGATCGTCAGAGAACAAGCTAAGAAAAAGGCGATTTTTTACAATATGGGACCATAATCCAAGATGTTACGGTCCGACATGCATCAATATCAACAGGGCCCGAGATCGTTGAATATAAACTTATATTTAAAGTTTGATTAAAATCGGATAAGAATTTGACTTTTAGGGAGGGTACACAACCTTTGTATTACATGCTTTTACACTATTTCCGTAAAGGGGTGCTGTCGCTTTGACGGAAAATGTCAGTCTGATTTCACCAAATTCGATATCAACCGTAATTACGGTGTAAATGAACGTTATTGCTTTTTTTTTTAATCAAATAAAATTTGTGACTCTACATGTAGAGGGTCCATTGGCTAAAATGTATACTATGCTACATGAGTGAATAGCGGTGCCCGATACTTTGAACTTGATTCTTAAGTTGTGGGTCCCATTCCCATAGGGGTGTGAGGTCCGACAAAACGTCGGAATTTAGAGTTTACTTCGACCATTGCGTACAACGATCAACTTTCGTGCATAAGTCGACCAACCTCAGATATCATCCGCGACCCTTCTTTCCTTCCTTATGAACACCCTCTTTATGCCCTTGAGAGATGGGTTAATTCGACTTCGGCGTACAATATTATTTTTTTCACTGTTGGTTCACTAGGACATAACACTAACTTAAGAAAGCGAAATAAGAAGACGAAACGGGACCCCAAGGGTGAAATGACCAAAACTGACGATTTAATTCAACTTCAGCGTATAAATATCAGCCTTCCTGCCTATGTAGACTTACCTCAGATGTTATCAAAACACTGCTTAAGAAGATTCATCCCCACCCAGACCCTTCCTCCAATCCTTAAGAACGCACCCTTTCTCCTCATCAGAGATAAGTTAATTCAACTTCTGCGGATAACATTAACGTCTGCGAGGGACACATTAGCCGAAAGATTCGGCCCAATCAATCTATGCAGAATTCCGGTTGATTCCATTACCTTTATTTATCACGCAACCCTTTCTTACACACACAAATAAATAAATAATTGACAAATCAAATTCATTTAAAGTAGAATAAGAAAGTTATCAGACAAGCGATATCTACTGTAAAATATGTTAGAAATGTATACATATTAATGATATTATTGATATACTTATAAACGTTTCATTGAATACTTTTCATTGAAATCATCTAATGTACAAATAATGTACGAATGTAATATTTACATATAAATATTTTATTGAAATAAGCAGCATGTCTTTCAGCAGTGCCAAACAGACATGTAACAGTAGACCAAGCATTGGCTAAAATACTTGAGCGTGATGACCAGACCCCGAGTTCACATAGCATTCTTAGACTTAAGTTAAGAATTTACTCAACTTTAATCACTGTTTATGAAAAATATCTTTGATCCAGAAACACAAAACTTTGCACATATTTTCTTATTGATGTATTTGATACATTAAAACAAAAAATGTTTTCAAACGGGACATATTTTAGTTACAATAAGGTAAACAATTTTGAGTGAATTCTGAACTTAAGTCTGAGGATGCTTTGTGAACTCAGGGCCAGGGCGCTTGAATGATGTTGATTAGGGTTTTTGTTGTGAACTGTAGAACTTGGATGACAATCGTTGCCTTAAAAAATCATATTAAATGTATATGTATATTTTAGAACTATTTTTCCTGATCCATACTTGCAGAATATCCCCTTTGTTGGAACTTTGGGTGATTAGCAATTTTGTATTTTGTCACCGAAAAATCTCAAATTTTGCCCCACAGGCGCCGAATAGGTCAAGGAGCAAAATGACACTATTTACAGTATATATTCCAGAATTTAAAGGGTTAAGGATCAATGTCGAATTATTGTGATTGTCGTGGAAACTCTGAAATCCTCTGCTTCTGGCGGCGGGCGTGCGCACTGCGGCCGTTTAACAGTTTCATCATTTAGGGGTTGTGCAATAGGTTATCGTCAATGAGGCTCGGTTTTAGCACACATAAAATATAATAATGGGCAAATTCCGATCGGGTTAATATCTAAAACTAGTACGCACAAATAGTTCGACCAATAGACTTTATTTTAAATCCACTTTTGAACGGATAAAAAATACAACATGACCTTACATTAATGGATGATAAATGTCGAAACTAAGGTAAGGCTTGTAATACATGGATAGGATGGAAAACTGATGGAAATACTTGGAGATGTATTTGATGAGGGCTGGCTGGAAAGTTCTAGTCCTGAGAAGTATAGATCAATTGGGTTCAATAAGCATTTGCCATCAAGTAGAATCATTGAATGAATTATAGACATAAGAACTGAAACTGTAGTGTTATTATTGTCTTCGTACTCTCTTGTGAACCTACCCATGGAAATCACTAGAAATGGACAACACTGGCTACGGGGCAGTCATCAAGTACCTGTATTTGACAGGACTAACCCCGTCCTTCCTTAAGAACACCCCCTTTACCCCCCCCCCTACCCCCCACCATGAGAGATGGGTTAATTCGACTTACGCGTGCAACATTATATTTTTCGTTTAATGTTTCACTAACACTAACTTAAGAACGCGAAATCCCCTTCTATCTCAGATAAGAAGACGAAACGGGGGCTCAAGGGTGAAATGACCAAAACTGACGATTTAATTCAACTTCAGTGTGTAAATATCATCCTTCCGGCCTATGTAGACTTACCTCAGATGCCATCAAAAACAATGGATTAATGCGTGAATCGGCGTGTCGACTGGGTTATTGTAAATGAATTGACGAATAAATCTAGTAAGTTTAAAAATCAGGTCTTATTATTAATCTCAAATCACTGATACTGTTTGTTACCTTTGTTACTTTTAGAATAATACACATTTTGTCAGTTGTCAGATAAAAAATAAACATAACTTTTTTTGTATTTACAATAACTTTCGACTTGGATTTCAGAAGGCAAAGCTACTGGATAGAAATAAACTAGAGTCACCAGTCTAATGTCAGCGGTTTAAATACAGAATTACAATAACAAGTTAGCTGTATGAATTTGTCAATATGTAAAATTGTATCAGATTTTCAATAGTAAGAAAGCATGTCCGCCACTATATTTAAAAGGCTTAGAAAGTGTATGCTTATTGATATACCTTACTTAATTGTTATCCATGTCCCCATTATACGAATGTATGCCTTTCCTTTTCCCCATTATATACCCTGTCATACGTCTACACGCAATAATTCAACTTTGACAAGACGTGATTTGGTAATTATTATTTCTCTTTCTGTTTGTAGTGTAAGGGCTATAGAAGTTAGACATAACATTTTTCATTTGAACATAGGCCATAGCTGGTAAAATGGTGTCCAGGTCTAGTCTGGTTTGTTTTATTTTATTATTTCAAGTGATTCAGATAACGGGTATGTTGTGATTTTAATTTTCATAACTTAAACCAAAACTGACACAGTTATATGGGACAGCAATCACTGGTTTATTATACACAAGCACGACGTTTTGATAATTATTCTCTTATCGTTATCGAGCACGTTAACTGTGTCAGTTTTGTTATGTTTCCAATTGATAAATGCCACTAATGTATTATAACTTAAACCGTGCTTTATCGTATATAGAACGTGTTTTAATGTATGTAAATACTTACATTTATTAAAACACCATACTACTATTAGGTTCCTGATTTTGATATGTATATTTATATTTAAAGTAGCTAAGTCTCTAACTCAATATCATCCAAAATATTCGACACTGAAAACACGATTTATTTGTCGGTTTAAATCAACATTGATGTTGTGATCTTCCCGGGAAAAGATGGCCTTCTAACCTCCAATATTTAAACAAAATAAACATTTTACAATTGGTACACGAATCCTGTACCAATGGCGTTCCAGCGCTATTTGTAATAAGGGACTCGAAAAACGAGACTAGGCATATTCCACAAGTCATGTCAAACGGTGACGCTATATTCTTATCTGGAGAGCATGCCCAATAAATACTATCGGCGTAGACTGGAATAACCAGACGCTAGAGATTGAAATTCGATTGAGAATACTGGCATATTTCGCCGAACCTAACTGATTAGAAATTACAGTAAAAACAGAAACGATTGAATGTAAATCAATTTATATACATTCATATTACATTATTGTATGCGTTGTGACCCATTTGTGTCAAGTTCTAGGTCTCAAATATTAGCGACTTAGCTCCTTTAAGAACGCCACTTACAACTCATGTTTTTGTCCATAAATAGATTTTTTCGTTTTTAAATGCCAATAAATCAATTTACATAACGTCTCTGTTTTAAGTGAAGAATCGGAGGGGTTTCATAATTTGATATTTTTTCGCATATACTTATTTATGAACGAACCATTTTATAAACAGTCGACAGTTAAAGCCAAACACAGCCAATCATCATCTTATTCTGCAAAATCGACGGTGATTATATATTGATTGCTGGTTGTTGATACCTGGGTGATATTTATTTTAGCTGCATAAATAGTAATATTTGAAAGTGCACTGACCCTACGCGGCCTTGTGCATAATACAGAATAAATAATTATTCTTTCAGATTGTGTACTTCTTTATTGTATTTTTGCTAATGAGAACTGTCGGAATTGTGATGAACGAAGCGGTGGTTGTAGATCATGTACATCTGGCTGGTTTGGTTATCTCTGTCATCAACAATGTAACTGTAACGATGGAGGATGTAGACAGGAAGATGGTTATTGTGTTAATGGTTGTAAAGTAGGATGGTATGGTACCAACTGTCAACAACAATGTTCTAATAACTGTAACAATGGAGGTTGTAGACAGGTAAATGGTTATTGTATTAACGGTTGTAAAGTAGGATGGTATGGAACAAACTGTAATGATTGTGTTAGTGGTAGATATGGTACTAACTGTCAACAACAATGTTCTAATAACTGTAACGATGGCGGATGTAGACAGGTAGATGGTTATTGTACTAATGGTTGTAAAGTAGGATGGTATGGTTCAAACTGCCAAGAACAGTGTTCTAATAACTGTAACAATGGAGGATGTAGACAGGTAGATGGTTATTGTAATAATGGTTGTAAAGTAGGATGGTATGGAGATAAATGTGATACATCATGTAATCAACAGTGCTCTGGTGGTTGTAATAGAACAGGTGTTTGTAATGGTTGTATTGATGGTAGATATGGTATCAACTGTCAACAACAATGTTCTAATAACTGTAACAATGGAGGATGTAGACAGGTAGATGGTTACTGTACTAATGGTTGTAAAGTAGAATGGTATGGAGGTACATGTGACACATCTTGTTTAGTTGATCAGTGTACAGGTGGTTGTAACAGGAATACAGGACAATGTTCTAGATGTACACAGGGTTACTATGGTCCAAATTGTCAAGAACAGTGTTCTAATAACTGTAATAGTGGGGGATGTAGACAGGTAGATGGTTATTGTAATAATGGTTGTAAAATAGGATGGTATGGAGATAAATGTGATACATCTTGTAATCAACAGTGTTCTGGTGGTTGTAGTAGAACAACAGGTGTTTGTAACGATTGTATTAACGGTAGATACGGTACAAACTGTCGACAACAATGTTCTAGTAACTGTAACGATGGAGGATGTAGACAGGTAGATGGCTATTGTAATAATGGTTGTAAAGTAGGATGGTATGGAGATAAATGTGATACATCATGTAATCAACAGTGTTCTGGTGGTTGTAATAAAACAACGGGTGTTTGTAATAATTGTGTTTTTGGTAGATATGGTACAAACTGTCAATCAGCATGTACAGTTACTAACTGTATCAGTAACTGTAACAGAAATACAGGACAATGTGACACATGTATCCTAAAATGGTACGGTACAAACTGTGAAAATTATTTGTTCTAGTAATTGTACTGGAGAATGTAATAAATCAACAGGTAGATGTACAGAATGTAAATCAGTAATGTTTGGTGATGATTGTAATAAACCATGCCCTGTTAACTGTCTTGATACTTGTACCAGGGACGATGGTAAATGTAATAGATGTAAACCTAATACAGTTGGTCTGTACTGCAATTCTACATGTGGTGCTGAATGTCTGCCAATTATAGGTGGGACTCAAGAAACATGTGATAGAGATGGCAGTTGTACTGAATGTATTGTAGGCAGATATGGTGATGGGTGTGATAAGATTTGTAGTACAACCTGTAAAGATGGATGTGATAGAACTAATGGTAGATGTAATTCTTGTGTTGATGGTAAAAGTGGACATATATGCGATAAGAACTGTAATAGTAATTGTACTGTTTGTAATCAAGATGATATCGACATTTGTACTAGATGTAAAGATGGGAGATGGGTAATATCATGTAATAAACAGTGTAGTTCTAACTGTAATGGACAGTGTGATAAATCTGATGGAACATGTTCTATCTGTAAACATGGTTGGCATGGTAACGTATGTCAACAACAATGTTCTACCAATTGTAACGATGGCTGTGACAGAATAACAGGGAAGTGTAGAGAGTGTAAATTAGGATTCATCGGTGACAATTGTAATGTGGCGTGCTCTGTCTGTCAGAACCTATGCAAAGCTGGCAATTTGACTTGCGATGGGTGCCATTTAGGGTCTGGCCAAATTACGGGTAAATATATATTAAATTATATTCAAATAATCCATATCTTTAAGTATAGGAATCAGACTTGTTTTTACTATATATTTCTTGTGTATTGGCATATCAAGAATTAATTTTATAGAACTTGTTCCATTAGCCGGAAACGTTAAACTAAAGGACATGCGCATAGTCTCATTATTTGGTCTTTCGTTGTTCATTGATAATATTGCTACTAATAATGTCAATGTATTTTTGTTTTATTATTTAAGTTAAAAATAAAGATGACGACATGGGCCCAGTTGCAGGTGGTGTTATTGGTGCTATATTTGGTATAGTAATTACAGCGATAATTAGTGTTACAGTACATTGCTATATAATTAAAAGGTAAAATATAAATTTTATGAACGTATAGTCCGAATCAGAAGGTAAGATATATTTATAGTTTTGTTTATAGCACATTACTAAACAACAAGTCAGTATGTAAGTTGTACACGGATATCATTGAGACAGTGACATGAGAGTCATAGATTGTAAGCAATATGTTATGTTAATTTTAAAATGAGTTTATTTTCATTTACAGAAACCAATCATCTAAACCAGTCAGTGAAACACGTGGTTATAGATATAATAATCGTCCTACTATACACACACCAACAACAGGAGGAGATAACTCTACATCTGATGATATTACTTATGATACTCTACAAGAAGGTTCAACTCAACAAAATGAAGAACATCAATATCAAACATTAAATCCAGATCCTGCATATGTTAACCTTGGTTTACAATAAAACAATAATGTAGGGAGGAGTTCTGTATAAAATATACGGAATGTGTAATGATCATAGATTTAGTTTTAATTTAGTTCAGATGATTTTATTATCAATTTTGTGACATCTGCCTAATCAAATAGAATAAAAGACTATATGGCTGTGTATATACGTAAAATACCGTAAATGCGTCCATTCTAGATACTTATTTTATTACTGACATGTTTCATATAATTTTTAAAGTAATGTAGGTAACTAGGTATAGAAACAATAGTGTGACGTAACTAATTATGTTATTATAATGAAGAATAATACATTATGCAAATGGATTCAAATCAAACCATTTAATTTCGGTTTATATTTATCGAGAAATAGTTTTTTTGATTCGCATTCGTATATTAGCAAATATAGATATTTTATAGAATGGATATACAACAAAATTAGGGCCTTTGTCCTTCGCACAGGTATCAATGTGCACTTAATGGGATCATTCTTGTCTTAGGGTCCTTAATTTGTTGTCTATGTACATTCATTCTTTTTCTCAGATTGTTCCTATACCCGATATAGTTTTCACCACATCCACAACAAGTTATAACATATATTAAATAACTGACGTTACATGTCATATTGGTGTTGACATTGAAAATAGACCCATTTTTGAACCTGAAATTTGTGCCTTCTAATATGTAATTGTATAACCCGCATCGTTTACCATTACATTTGGGAAAATTGTACACTGTATGTTCGTCTTGGGTTACGAATTTGGTTTTTCCTAATATTTGTTTTAAATGTTTTAGCTGTCTTTTTGATTTGATATATTATGTTACCCCCTGCATTCCCGATCTCATCCTGTCAACTTTTGATAAGATTGTTATGTTATTGGGAATGGAGATTTTTCTCTTTAGTTTTGACCAATATCAATCGTCTTGGCCTTTAAAATTCCATCAGAAATTAGGGTGGATGGATATTTTCTCTTCGTGAGAAATGATCTCAACTCCTCTAATCTTGTGTCTCTTGTGGATGGTGATGAAACGATCTTATAAATACGGCGAGCGAGATTATATGGCAATGATACTTTCGTATGTTTGGGATCACATGTATCAAACTGAAGGTATTGTTTGGTGTCAGTTGTCTTATAGAAAATATCTGTTTTTAATTTTAGTGCCATTTTTAATAAAAGGCTATATTCTGTTCATTGTAAATTAAATGCTAGATCAATATTGTTTATTATTTTCTGAATGTTTCTAGTTCTAGGACAGAGTGTGTCCAAATTATGAAACAGTCGTCAAGGAATCGGTTCCATTTATCTTGGAAAAATGTTTTCATGTCCAAGCTTATAGTTTGTTCGATTTCTGATGCCACTTGGTGCTCTAAATATCCTAAAACTAGATTTGCATAAACAGGAGCTACTTTTCTTCCCATCGAGGTACCTAATAGTTGTTTATAGAATTTTCCATTGAAATGGAAACAGTTATTTTCTAAAATGAACCCCAATCAGAATAAATGATGTTGTGAAGCGTTCGTGTATGACAGTCGTCTGGATCGTACACTCTTCAGACCCAAATCATGAGGTATGTTTGAGTATAATGAAATGACATCAAATGTAATCAGTAAAGCATTAGATGGTAGGCTATGTAGAAGGTCGATTAAAAAGTTTACACTATATCTAATATAGTTTTTCACATGTTTTAAGAATGGTTGTAAAAGAATATCCATAAAATTGCTTACCCTGTGGGTTTCACATGCAGGTCCTGCTATGATGGGTCGTAATGTTAGATTCGACGGAGCCGGAAGTTTTAGATATTCAATCTTCTGGACTGAGCAGGCATCTTGGATATTCTTGCACTTGTGAATTTTCGGAAGACCGTAGAAATTACTACATTTTGTCTCGAAGTCCAATAGGTATTCCTTCTCCTTACTAGTTAAATTGCAATCAGTAGAGTCTATAAGTTTTAGAAGTCCGCTCATTATTAGACTGATCGGCTGTTTGTTTAACTCTTGTTAGTATTTCTCGTCCCCGATAATGTTCATAACTAGTATTCGATAATAGCTAGTTGTGCCTCTTTTATCGGCCTGGGGCCGTATTTATAAAAATTCTTAGAGTTTTCATAACTTTTACTCTTAGACTTCCTAAAACAACATTTAGTTAAAAGTTACTCTTTAGAAATATTTATAAAGGGTCTTAGAGTTACTTTTAACTAAATGTAAGACTTGGGTCCTAACCAAACTCTTAGCGATGTAACCATGGGAAATCCGGGGATTCCCTGAAGTTATTTATAGCTCAGTGTTGATGTCATGGTGGCGGCGCTTGCGCTTCATGCAGAACGGAAGAGCAGACTGGGCCGAGTTTAGTTTGTTTACAATCAGTTACCGGAAATACGATGTTTCTATCGAGGATTCAACTGTAAATGCGGGTAAGTAAAGTTATATTGTCTTAAAACTGTGTTTGTAAATAAAGGTATATTTGCACGATTAGCTCGTGCACCATTAGCAGACGATATTGTTGTCTTTGACGAGAAAATGGAAGCTCCGAAAAAAGCAAACCGAAAACCGAACTGGACAAGCGACGAATGTCTATCGCTTGTCCAGTTAGTGGAAAGCAAACAAGGCAATACTTAGGGGAAAATTTTCTTCAAGGGTTACAGCAGAAGAAAAGAGGAGGACATGGGCTGCAGTGACAGTGTCACTCAACGCTTCGCACCCACATGTAATAAGATCTGTCGACGACATTGAAAAGAAATGGTATAACTTGCTATCCAAATCAAGGCAGGAGATAGCTAATTACAGACGGGATTGAGTGGAACCGGTGGGCCATCGCTTAGTTTAAAGCAATATGTTGTACTAATATAAATTGTAAAAAGAAAAGAAAAGATTCACTTGATTAAAATTTTATTATTGAAATTATAACATGTCAGCTAAGTTGATAATATAGTGTGTACACATAATTATAGATGTAATCAATAATCAATGAAATGAGATGAATTTGTCTTAGCATTTATAACTTTATCATTAATGTAGGTCTACAATTTGAAAAGTAAAAATAAAATAGAAAAGGCTAAATTTTCATACATAATTATCATAATAATAATAATGATTCTTTATAGCGACTAATGAAGAATGATGAGTATTAAATTATGTATTGTTTTATTTATCATATTGATTATATGAAATTACAGCCACTCAAAAGCACTTGTAAATAAATGTATTTATTGCTACATATAACTCAAAAGCACTTGTATATACATTTTTTATATTGCTTATACTTGCATGTAAACATTGTAGCAGGTCAAGTTAGCAAAAAGGTTCCCTTATTAGCTGGTACAGTAAAGGAATGAGTAATTTAACTATTAGTTTTTGTATTTCAGGCAATAATTTCAATATAATTAAACATTTCAATTATAGCATGTTCACCTGTTTGAAAATTTAAATGATATTTCAATGAATAATTTCAGGTGGAGGTCCCAGTACTGCGCCCCTCTCGGCTGTGGCTACAACCGTGGAGAGCATCCTGGGAGAGTCGAATGTCTCTATCAGTGGGATAGACAGTGGGTCGGGGCTGGATACTTCAATGCTCCAGTTTATCAACATAAGGTATGGTAATTCAAACAAACACCCAAAAACATTAAGTCATTAAAATGTCACTGTTCCATTTCATACACATTGTGTATAAAATTTCATGAATGATTTTGATTCATAATCTTTAAATTAGAGATTACAGTGTCAGATGTGCTGCCTCAATGGTGAATATCCTACTTACAAGTGACTGAAGTGAGCGTCCTCGATTTGTGGATTCTTGCAGTTTAGCTTGATTTAAATCAGTTAATAATAGATATACTAATATTTGTGTGTATGTATCAGACCATTGGTTTCTCAATTGCTTTTTCCTGTAAAATACTTGACCACTCACATATTTCATAGAATTATTACTGAACTCAATGGACATTGCTTAAATATTATTCTCGATTTTTAATTTGAAACTACTTTTTGGAACCTAACAAATATGAACCTAGCTTGCTAACAAATATTTTGTTAAGATTTGAAGAATTTTTCTAAATTATCCATTAATACAAGTGTAATTAGTCATGTAATTTTAATAAATTGACTTAATTATACATCCTGCCACATCAGTGTATTTGGATCGGCATTAAGCTACTCAAATACCCCGAATGGATAAGATTGGATTGCCTACAATCGCTATAACCTACCTGCCATATAACCGAGTCAATGAAATGAATGACATTGAACAATATTGGCAGTTTCCCGATGAAGACTGTTAACTTCGAAACAGGTGCTACATATAGCGACAAGTAACCAGTCGTCAGCGAAACGAGTCAAGACCATGTTATGCATTCAGGGTATTTGAATAGCTTAGACAGTACTGGCAAGTTCACTCATCTTGAATTTATCTTAATTTTTATCTCCTGAAATTCAACCTTTGTGTATTTGTTAAAGTAACAAACAAGTTTGATGATCCCTTTTTTAATAAGTGTAATGTCATTTCAGTTCATGTGAGAGCAGTGAACTCCAGAATGAAGAGCCAGTCGCGGTCCCGGTCTCAGTCTCAACGGTCCCGGTCTCAGCGTCGCTCCCCATCTCGCTGCCATTCACGCTCCCAGTTCCAGATTCCATGAAGAGTGAGCTGGAAGTCAAAGTTTTGAAAGCTCAGCTTGAGTACTATGAACTCAAAATTAAGAAAATGAAAAAAGAACAGTGAAAAATATTTGATGTTAGTTAAGTAAGGAGGTTGGATATTTTTGTTTTAGCAACTTGTCAATCAATGTCAGGTAGGCGATTTGACAATCATTAATCCTTGTTTATATACTAGTATAATATATTTTTACACCGGTATGTGATGAACCAGCAAATAAAAAAACACTTCATGAATTAAAAAAGTCAAGTGATTTCAATAATTTTCATCATTGACAGTAATAACATTTTTTTTTTTTATACAGAACTTCAAATGCCCTGTTTACAAACAAGAAAAGCCTTTAAAAAGGCATGCTTGGAGCCACTTATTTCTACTTATATGAGGGCAGATTTGATCTACAATTCAGGATACATGATATGTAATTGGAAACATGATACAAATTTAGGAAAAGTTACTGCAAAAGATTAACTAGCAAGGAAAAAGTATAAGTTATTAGAATGGATACTGAAATTTATTACTTGTGAAAATCTTTTCTTAAGGGGAGATAACTCCTTCATGGAAAATTAATTTGACTAGATAGAGCAAGTAACTTATTATCATAAATCAAAAAACATTTCAAACAACCAAAATAATTTCAACTTTCCTTATCATCCATTAAAAATCCTTTGATTTTTATTACGTTTGTCAACATAATTTTTTAAACAAAAGCTATTATCATATCCAAATGTGCTAGAAAAGAGGTGCGAGTCTTGTCTGGATCATAGATTCTTCTCTATGGGTTTGATAATTGTAAAACTCACCAGGAAGATCAAGAATATAATGAAGATGAGTCATGAACACCCATTTGTTAAATAAATGACTAATAATTTTTAAAATATATTAACCCTCGTACGACTAAATGGGGTCTGTCAGACCCCAGCTGCATGTTTTTGACCTGTAACACATACATAAAGCTTTGTAATTTACCCCGGTTTTGTGTATTCTCAAATGAGCCATATCTACACAAGAAAATTGTATTGACATCTATTTGTCTACATTTTGAAAAAAATTACACAATGTTAAATTCGCAACCCCCTTGCACACCGTATGAGGTCTGTCAGACCCCAAGCGTAAGTTCACGAATTTAATATATTCCATCACAATTTCATCATAAAACTTCATTATGCGTTTCTTTTATGTGTTCTGAAAAGGTTGGATATAGATACGACTGAAAACAAAATGTAAAAAAATTATGTTAGCCAAAGTTTAAACTAGGAGCTTGAGCGTTTTTATCTAATAATCGGCATAAAAGTAATTTTTTTTAAAACATCCAAAATTATCAAAATTTGGTGTTTGGATACATTTTTGTTTCGATAACAACCTAGCAATTTGATTTTTAAACCAAAAAAAATCATTAAAAAGATATTGGGTTGAAAGACACCCTTCCTTCAAAAAAAGATAAATAATTCTTAATTACTTATAAAATTAAATATTAATTTTATTCATCGATTGTTTTTGGTCTGGTTCATTGAAAACTATTTGAACTATTCCAAACATAAGTTGAATAAATCGTTAGCAACGGTGTAATGAATCGTTAGTGCAATATCTGTGTCAGAAATTACGTGGGGTCTGGCAGACCCCAATACTTGGCAATAGTAGTTAGTGTGACAATTTTTGTTCAGTCGAACGAGGGTTAAAATAATGATTAGGGAGCAAAAATGTTAAATTTGATATGAAACTATAAAGACTGCTCTCTGGTTTGATATTAACCATAGCCTACCTATATTCACTCCATATTATTGTTTTGCCTCTGCCCTTTTGAATAATAATCTACTTTGACTTAGTGGACATATTTTTAACATCTAGGACCTAATTTGCATATATTTGTATATCTCATATCTGCATATAAACAGATCTAAAGATTATCTTTATCAACATTCACAACCTAGTGACTCTATAACTGTTCTTTCACTCTCTTTAAGA